TATTAGCATCAAAATACGTTGCTCGAATGATATTATTATTTGGTTACTTACCTTCATTACTTGTCTCCAATTATTAACAATTACAAGACCCTTAACAGAGAAGATCGAAAAAACAATTTTAATGTTCAGACGTGAAAAAGATCCACAAATGTAGGAGAATGCAATTTGCGTTTTTATATACTGTGGAATACTTTATTTTCGCTGAAAAGCCTTTTTGGACGTTTTGTATGGAATTTATTTTCACTGATTTTTGATGAGTTTAATGTGAAATATAGGAAAAGAAGTATATTCGCTGGATTTTATTTTCACGGAATCATCCCTTCAGCGAAAATAGCGAAAATAAAGTATTCTACAGTAAACAATCCAGGTAGAAAGTAACAGGATTCACTACCTAACTGTACGTATTTGTACTGTGAACGGCGACTACCCGAGATTGGCCATAAAAATACATTGTAAGCTGCACTCCACACGCCAAACATAACAGATGCACATCACTGCCAACTCAACTGATAAGAAGTATCAAGAAAACTGAGCTCCAACGATATTTATTTTGAATTGTGGGATCTCTAGTGTGAAAACGTGTTTGAAATTAATCTTATAAATTGAAGTTGCAAGCATAATAAGAGAGCGAGTATTTTCGTAACTTTTTCAACTTTGAGTTTTCAACTACATGATTGGTTATGAAACATTGGTCGAATTCACAGTCACGCTGCTCTCTACAGATTATGGCAAAATTTTGCCGACCACAGAAGCCAATTTTAGCCTTTCTTTCCGGTCCGAAACTTTAAATATGCACCAATACTATTGCAGAATATATCAGTTCTCGTCACTGAAGTAAAAGCAGGAGGGTCGTCATCTGCGCACGCGCGGGAATTGAGTCCCAAGTGACGATAACACAAGCTAAAACGCAAAGGCTCATGGGTAGACGCTTGTCTGTGAACAATGACACACTATGGCCATCTGACGCATGCGCAGGTGACGACTCCCCCGCTTTAAGCTTTCCTCATTTTAATGCTAAGTTTCGTCTAAATATAAAAAAAATATTCAGCTACAGACATACTATATGTATGTACTAAGTTGTAATCCATTCGAGCAAACTATTGTAAAATATCAACAACAGTAGTATGCAAATTAACTAATTATAGATCATTTTAAATTTAGTATTTAACATTCAAGTTCGAAAATAGTTTACATGTAACTAAGTTTTAATTCATTTGAACAAACTATTGCTAAAATATCAACAAAACATGAAAGTACTATAAAACATGTCTTTCTAGCTAGCATTTCATTTCAGCTAATTTAGCTAACTTGCTAATTTAGAATGAAGTATATTCTCACAATGAGATTGTTGGCATTTTAGCTAAATTAAGATTCAGTTAGTTCATGTATTGAGTCAAATTTGCTAAAATGGCATGTAGGTATTTCAATGCGTATTAGCTATCTAACTGATAGTTTTCAAATTAGTGTAATTAACTCCGCCTCTGCCCACTAAGTAAATGAATGCTTATTATGCTCGCTTACTCAAACTGTGATTGACAGGCATTTTGCATACATTAGCCGCCATTTTAAACTCATGATTTTTTACTTGTCGCGGCACGTTTCGACCGAAAACAACAACATGTATACATCAAAAGCCCAACCAGATGAGTGTAATCGCTAGCCTACATATTCATGCCCCCGTAGAAATGTATTCGGAATCACAGCTTGATCTCTAAACATCGTAAATGGCACATTTCACGGAGCTCCTGCCACGATGTGAGCGGCTTGTTTCAGATTAGCATACTAATTGCGGTGGCCATCTTGCCCCTATTTATAGTATCGTTTCCCCTTTGACATTCAAGTTGGTTTGTTGGTAAACATTTTTTGCCAGATTAACGTCATTTCAATTAGGAGTAGGGAAATATAGTGTTTTTTCCATATTTAACAAAAAATATTTTTGTGCGTTTTCAGTATAATGCTATAGTATATTCATAATATACAACAACAAATATAAATTTATACATATTTTAATACATAACCAACAAACAATGTTTACTCAGGTTATTAAATTACATACAGAAAGCCTACAAAATAAGAAAAGAAAAGGTGAAAATCAATTAATGTATTGTTGTGTTTTATTTTCAGTGTGATTTAGTTGTTGTTTATTTAAAAACTATTATTGTATTTTATGTGTAGTTTAATTGTAGTTTATTTTAAAAAGCTTTAATACAGCAATTATTTTATTGTATCCTAATATGCACAGATTTTGACAGAAATCTTATTCTGTGTATTATCCCAAAGCAACAATGAAATCAAACGATTGGTGTATGAGAGATTGGTGGGACACACACACACATATACAGGCACATGTACAGGACCATACCCATATTTTCATGTGGAATATTCTATTGAAGTCTTAACATTTATTTAAACATTTATTACCAAATGCATGAATTCAGTAAACTATTGTGGGATTATATATTTATTATATGCATATTTCACAGTTCAAAATAAGTGCCAATGGAGTGTTGAAAGAAAAACTATAATTGTTAAAATTAAACCACATACAAATATATCATTGAGTACGCTGATATGCTAATTTTATTGAAGCGGTGTGAATTAACAAATACAAGTATGAAAAACACACAGTCTCTTAGAGTGGTACTCCATTTGTGGTTCACAGCAAAGTTTCCACATTATATGTAAAATTAAATGTAAATACAGGACAAACAAAGGTCATAGCGATGTAACATCACATGGGATCTGTCAAACACGGAAATACAAAATGTATTTGTTGGGTATTCCCACACTTAATAATGTGCTGTACACATTTGATGATTAATTTCTATGAAGTAAGGGTATCTCAATACCATACTCACCACGGAAGGATCACATTTTGGCATTAACCTATAAAAAAAATTCATGATCAAATCGTTCAATTTTTGCAGCATTACTCAAAATTAGCAGTGAGCAGAAAATCACCTATTCTCTTGTTTTGAACAAAAATGTCTATTTGTTCTTTATTTTTTCTATTATTTTAAAAACCGTCTTGACTAGTGCTTGGTATCTTGTATCATCACCCATACCATAGGGAGATAACTTGGAGGTAATGTATGCAAATGAAAGATGATTTTCTTCATCAAAGAAGGCATTTTGACCTCCATGTCCAGCGTGACCAACAAGATTCTCTGTATAACTTTTCTGAAAATGGAAAAGATGTAAACGTGTGTATTGAAATCTGTTTTTGATATACTGTAAAATACTTTATTTTCGCTTGGAATTAATTTTCACTATTTTCACTGAAGGAATAATCAGCGAAAATAAAATCAAAAGAATATTCTTTTTTCCTATATTTTCCATTTAACTTGTTAAAAATCAGTGAAAATAAAATCCATACAAAACACCCAAAAAGTCTTTTCAGCGAAAATTAATTCCAGCTAAATAAAGTATTTCACAGTATACATATACAAAAAAACATTTGTCTACAAAGCCAGGAAACTTTGGCTAGCTTTAGACTGTCAATATGATTGGTTGATTGAAAATATCATGTGATTGGTGGAATTCACCATGTTAAGAGACATACATGACATTCGAATAAATTTGCATGGCTAATAAGATAAACCAATCATTAATTCTAGGTATTGTATGAAGTGTCTTAAATAAAGTTGTATGGTTAATATAAGAAACAGACATTAATCCTTGGCATTGAATAAATTTGCATGGCTAACAAGTGAAACCAATCACTGAATCTAGGCATTGTATGAAAGGTCTCAAATAACTTTGCATAGCTAACAAGTGAAACCAATCATTGATTCAAGGCATTGTATGAAAGGTCTCGAATAAATTTGCATGGCTAATAAGATAAACCAATCATTGATTCTAGGCAATGTATGAAAGGTCTTGAATAAATTTGCATGGCTAATAAAATAAACCAATTATTGATTCTAGGCAATGTATGAAAGGTCTTGAATAAATTTGCATGGCTAATAAAATAAACCAATCATTGATTCTAGGCAATGTATGAAAGGTCTTGAATAAATTTGCATGGTTAAAAAGATAAACCAATCATTGATTCTAGGCAATGTATAAAAGGTCTTGAATAAATTTGCATGGCTAATAAAATAAACCAATTATTGATTCTAGGCAATGTATGAAAGGTCTTGAATAAAATTGCATGGCTAATAAGATAAACCAATCATTGATTCTAGGCAATGTATGAAAGGTCTTGAATAAATTTGCATGGCTAATAAGATAAACCAATCATTGATTCTAGGCAATGTATGAAAGGTCTTGAATAAATTTGCATGGCTAATAAAATAAACCAATTATTGATTCTAGGCAATGTATGAAAGGTCTTGAATAAATTTGCATGGCTAATAAGATAAACCAATCATTGATTCTAGGCACTAAATATAAATACAATTTTAGGATAATAATTTGAAGCAAGCATAAGCATATTCTTTACTTTAGAGTTAGATTCTATTAAATTGATTGAGACTGGACACCACTACCAGTATATAAATTATTAACTGCTCCTCCTATCGAGATGCACCAAATGCATAAAAGTAAAGTATTGGTGCATGCACTGACAGCGGTTGTGGCACATGAGTCGAAACCTTGTGAACCATGATCAAGCAAATGTTGCAAGGGGAACCCTTCGCATCATACTGGAAACTCAGCTACAGTTTAGTACATCAATAAAGCTCTGGCGTGATTCTAGGAGCTCGAAAAATCTATTCTCACACATCATCAATTTCCTGTTGAGAATTTGACAAATCTAATTTCCCCTGGTTGTTTTTGACCATCATGCATCGCTGCACAAGGTCACGCATGATCGTAATAGTGACTGGTTTAGGTGAAGTTATAAACAATTATTTAATACTTACTGGAACATCCTGGATTGGAATGTGGTGATGCATACCGTGACAAAAATGATTCACTAAAGATAATGTTCGATCTTCACTTGGTTCGTGACATTCTCTGAATTTCTTGACTAAATTATTTGATAATAATCTTTTCCCATTCCATTCACCTCCATTAGATAATATAGCATACAACTTGGCCAATCCCCGAGCTGTACCGATGCCACTAATCGAAGGGATTTCTAAGGAACGATACTGGTAGACATGTTCCTGTTTGGGATGGAAGAAAAATTTGATAAAATCATTGACAGCCTAAAAGAACAGAGATGTATTACTGTGGTAAACTTCAAACAGAAAAGACAACATGTTAGCAATGTCTATCTACATAGGCATAATGTATTACTTGAGTTTATGTATCTTTTCATACAACACTTCACTTTTACTTTTCATTTTTGCTCAACACTCTTCACATCTTTGTAGTATTATCAGCAGTTTATTTAACAAAATTTAAAATTAGTGTTTCTGAATGGTCATTGGGTTGCAGTCAGCCACGTTGCTGTCATTCCTTACAAAATTGTCTGGCCCACAATGTTTCAGTGCCACAACCTTGATTGGTACATGTAAAGTTACTCAGGAATTAGCCATTTAAAGCGAACTAATATACAAATTAGCCATATATAGACACAAATGTGCTATAAAGATTTGACTTGAGGTACACCTAAATTCATTATGTAAATTAGCATATGAATATGTAAATTACAATATGTACATGTAAATTAGCATATGTAAATTACCATACAAATATGTAAATTAACACATTGATATGTAAATTACTATATGAATATGTAAATTACCATATGAATATGTAAATCACTCTTATGAATATGTAAGCAGTGTGAAACAATATGCATGTGTAAGGGTAGGGTACTCAGGTATTTAGCAACAATACCAACCCCAGTGCAATTATAACACTATATCCACTAAGATAACGACTGTGTGCTGATCGGACTGAATGATCGTGGGAACTAATACGCGTTGGTGTTGCTCAACACAATATCAAATAGTTAAATTAATAAAGACACTACTATGCAAAACATAAGTCTCATAGATGTATTATTGGAATGCACTATCCTAGTATATACCTGTAGTACACATTGGTGGATAAGAATAAAAGATACATAACGCACGGGGTCAGAAATACAATTTACACTATAGGGGTACTATAGTGATAAATGCAGTTCAATATACACACGATTCAACTAAAATGTCCTATTTACTTGGATTGTCCCACGTCGGCCCGGGCAACGTAGA